AAAAAAAAAAATATATATATATATATATGTATACATATATATATGTATACATATGTATATATATATGTATAGAAAAGTGTCCATCTTAATATTAATATTAGAAAAACTTTTTTTTTGAGTTGGAGACTCCGACTCAAAAATATATATATGTATAGAAAAGTGTCCATCTTAATATTAATATTAGAAAAACTTTTTTTTTTTTTTTTTTGAGTTGGAGTCTCACTCTGTCATCCAGGCTGGAGTGCAGTGGCACACTCACAGCCACCCCAGCGTCGACCTGATTGGCTCTGGCAATCCTTCCACCTCAGCCTTCCGAGTAGCGGGAATTACAGGCGCGCGCTACCACACCCGGCTGATTTTTTTATTTATTGTAGAGATGAGGTCTCGCTGCCCAGGCGGGTCTCGAACCCGCCGAAAAACTTTTATGTAAAAGAAAAACTTGCTTAAGAAGTGCAGAGCCTAAAGAAGCATAGGAATAAGTATAACATGACACCACTGGTTTTAGGTAGTGGCTAACCTCTTTAAAATTCTAGGGAGGATTGAAGAATGGCTCTGTTCTTTTTGTCTTGATCCAGTTCAGGATCAGAATGACTGTCAAGCTATAGCACCACAATGCTGACTCTTATTTAGCTCATAAGTCTATTTTGATCTCAATATTTTTTTTCCTAGAGCATGGTGTATATTCATTAATTGTAAAAAAGAGTTGAAGATTGAAAGATAGAGGCAATGAGTTGAATAGCAATTAGCAAATAATTACAGGGTTCTAGAGAGGAAGTATGGGATTCAGTTTGCAGAACAAAATCAATTTTAGGCAGAGAAGAAAGGGAAAGTTTTAAAAGAGAACTAACAAAGAACCAAGTGATAGTTTATTATAATTCAATATACCCCATGAATCTGGTTTGTTTCTATATCCCTTATAAAGTACTTTAGATAGCATGATCCTATATTTTCATTCTATTCTCAAGACCCATTGTTGTGAACTTTGGAACTGAGATAACAGTGGGGGGGGGAGGCAGGGAGCAAGTTAAAGAGAGTTATCTCTTAGTGGCTGTGTGACCCTCAGAGTGGGTAGGAAGTGACTTGCAGCTGGTAGACTTACCAATATCAACAGATGAGTCATGGCTATTTTTTATGGTCAATTCTGTCCTCCTCTGTATTTCACAGGTTGAAGCAATAGTGTTAAGAAGAGAAACTTCAAGAAAAGTGCAATAGTAGTGGGCACAACTGTGGTTTATAAGTGATCATTCTCTATCATTCACCTCCCCACTTCCTTAACTTTTATTCTTCCTTTGCTCTACCCTCACAGAATTGCAAGAATCCACAAATACCAAACTGTGGCCATTGAAGCTGACCTTGGAGGTAGCAGCTTGGTTTATCTTGCTTGTTTTCATCCTGGAGATCCTTCTTATGTGGCTATCCAACTTTTTCCATTTCTGGAAGAGTGCCTGGAATGTCTTTGACTTTGTTGTTACCATATTGGTAAGGATAGATGTCTCAAGGGTTAGTTTAGGGGGATGAGGAATGTGCCTAGATGAATCGAAATAACAATAAAAGTTAACATGATAATAGGAAGAGGCAAATAGAAATTTAACTTCCTTCTTGTGAATCTCTTTCTAAAGTTAAAAGACAGTCATTGCAGAAATTGTTGATATTGGGAACAAGGTAGTCTAACCACAATTATCAACCCGCAAAATACCATCTGCCAGTTACTGAGCACTTACTAAGTGCCAGGCACTATTTTAAGTGTTTTACTTGTATTATCTCATTTGTGCTCCACAACCACCCAATGAGATAAGCATGAATTTTATCCTTTTCTATATCTGAACAAGTTAAAGTAGAGTTTAAGTAATTTAGTATAGAAAGGCTGAATAGGAAACAGCCTCCAGAGAATGCTGTTCAAGGGATAATGCCTAGGGAAATGTGAAGAGGATGAGATTAAAAAAAAAAAAAAGTGGGGGGGGGGGGCAACTGTGCCCGGGGGCTTTGGGGTATATTTTACTTATAATGTGTGTGTTTTCCACAGTCCCTGATTCCTGAGGTTGTGGTGTTGGTAGGGGTAACAAGTCATTCTGTCTGGCTCCAGTTTCTGAGGATCTGCCGGGTGCTGAGGTCTCTCAAACTCTTTGCGCGATTCCGTCAAATTCGAGTTATTATTTTGGCCCTGGTCAGGGCGCTCAAGGTGATTTGACTGTTGTAAGCTAAAGTAGAGGGCAAGGTAGATAAACATGGGGATTTAACATTTAATATAAAACAAGTCTGGGTGGGTTACAGAATGCAATGAAAGGTCCTGTGAAATGTTTTGTTGTTATTGTTGTTTTGTTTTTGAGTTGGAGTCTCACTCAGTCGCCCAGACTGGAATGCAGTGGCATGCTCCCGGGTACCGCAACCTCCACCCGCTCGGCTCCGGTGATCCTTCCGCCTTAGCCTTCTGAGTAGTCGGATTACCGGAACGCGCTACCATGCCCGGCTGAATTTTTTTTTTTTTTTTTTTTCT